AGAAAGAATTCTTTTACAATGCATGTCAATATATATATATATTTTAATCTGAGTTGCTCATTAAGTTTTCATAAAAACCAAGTTATTCAAACAGTAAGACTATGGTTATATTAAGAATTTATTTTGACTTGCAAAATGTATCATCTAAAGCTAATGATCAAAGATTGGGTTCTGACAAAAGACAGATCTTCAAATGCTGATTGGCATAACACAATCTTCTTATTCCTGGTATATACAGAGAATACAAACAATTTGTGTTACTGTCAATTGAAATTTGTTAAAGATTTTTGTTAAAACATTATTTAAGTAAATAAGATTTCTGAAGTTCATTAAATGTCATAGAAGTTTCTATTCAAACCTTTTAATTTTGGTAGGAAAGTTGATTGTATCAATATTGTTGCTGTTGGAAGATTTATTTTATTTTTATTTTTTACTAACATTCACCTAATAAAAGACTCAAGAGACATTCAGAGGGTTACAGTGTGATGTCTTATTAGCATAATAAAGGGCAAAAAGTGAAGTTCTTGGGGCTATGCAAGAAAAATTTAGTTATTGAATAACATTTCAGAGTTCAGTCAGAGAAATTAAAAGTATTGTGTCGAAGTAGACTTAGAATGAACAGGAAACCAAGGATAAACTTCTACTCCTGTTCAAAAGACAGGAGTTTTAGTGAACCTCTCTATTTGTTATTTTCTAGTTGTTAACTAGGGCAAAAGATGGCTTGTTAATTTTAACATCTCCAAAACTAAACTTCTGTCCATTAATCATTTGAGAGAGACTCCTCTGCCTTCCATCAGCATGACTGATGCTAACCTCTAGAAAAGTGATGCCTTTTAGGGCTAATATTCTCAGCTGACATAAAGTGGAAAAACTATATTGAATCCATTGCTAGGTGAGGTGCTAAGAAAGTTGGTTCCCTGTATCCTGAAAGACAATTTTTCTCTCTAAACACTATCAGAAATATATCTATAAGTCTACCATTCATCCATGCTTAGAATATTGCTGCCACATATGGTTCAGTGCCCCTGCTATTTACCTTGAGCTCCTTGATAAAGTCCAAAGAAAAATCAGCAATATTATCGAACCTGATCTGACTTGGCTTCAATCACTTTCTCACCACCGTAAGGTTGCCTCTCTGTGCCTTTTCTATAAATACTTTCATGGTAATTGTTCAAAATGAGCTCTTCACTATAGTACCTAGACATTTTGAATTTAAGTTCAGTACTAGACTGACATCAAGATCTTATCAATTTACAGTTCAACTGGCTAAATATAGCTGTAAATTCCAAGCTAACATTTTTTTTTCTCACTTATAGAACTCTCATCCAGCTTCTTACTTTCCATCCAACTCTGATTTTAAAAAAATTAAAGACAATATCAATCATTATCTTCCTGATTACTCTTCTATTGTTCTCACTTCTTAATAATGTTTCTTTTTTTTTTTTTTTAAATTATTTCCCAATCAATAACCACTTGTAATTTAATGGCTTTAGTGCCTTATTTGAGGTGAATTTATTTAAAAAGAAAAAAAAAATTCCAAACCTGCTTTGGATTTGGGGAGTTTTTAATACAATGTGGTTTTCTTCCTTTAGCAAAGTGGGTGTTGGGTAATTCTTGCAATTATAATTTTAAAGAATACCATGCTGCAGGTTGATTTCAAGCCTTGTGAATGAAACTGAGTAGTTGAAACGCTTTTTGGAACTCCTTTCTGGCTCCATGTTTTCCCAACCAACTTCAATGTGCAAAAATTTAAGTACAATGTTAGTCACTATCTATTGTCCTCCTGATTACTTGTTTCTCTTCCTGCTCATTATTAATGTTTTTGTTCTTAATTCATCCACACCCAGTAATGCCTTGTGTCATAGTGGCTTTACTGCCTTGCATGGGGTGAAACCAATTAAAAAAAATTGTTTTTGGTCTTGTTAATTACATGAAACAGATCTTTTAGAAAAATTAGTCCATAGAGTCTGATGAAGGATTTGTCTTCTTTAAGGAAGAACGGCATGAGAAATATTCCTTATTCAGCATGGTTACATTCATTAAACCGACAGACGACAAAACTGCAGAATAAAAATGCTTGCAAAATAATTGTACTTAACAGCAATCGGATTTTATAGTTCATCAAATTCCACATTGTAAAAAGAAAATCATCTTTCATAAGAAAACAAAAAAAAAATGTGATAGTTATAAAAGGGTCACTGCTATTTATGCCTGAAGTCTTTGCATATATTTACTTGCTAAAGATTGAAATAAAATCAAGTTGTCACCATAAAAAGGTTTGTACACATGCATGTTAATACGAGCATTGCAAATTTTATGGCTTTAAAAAAAAAAGAAGAAAAATTCCTTTTATTGTTGCATCTTGTGACTAAATAAGTTCAACTGATAATTATATATTTTATTAGTTTTTTTTTTTCTTTTTGTTATTGAAAAACCTGCATTGGTTTGTGTAAAATAGGCTAATGCATATACATTGTATATTGCCTCTGAGCACTTGATATAAATTTATATGCAATAATCTACTTCATATATGAATGTGTAAGGACAGATTTTGTGTGTATCTACTGGCATTTTTATAGACATATATAACTAAATGCATACATGTGTGCACCCGCACACACACAAACATACATATGTAGGAGTATTGGAAAGTCCCCAGCCCGACCCACTTTTTAAAATCTAATCAAATGAGAAAACATTAGATTTTTAAGAGTAAGTACCTCTTGGTTAATTTGAGAACTTTTCAGTATTATCTCTCTCTCTCTCTCTCTATATATATATATATATGGTAATAGTAATGATGGAAAAAGCCATTGCCTTATACAGAAATATTTGACTGAACAGTAAGCATTATTGTCCATTTTCCAGGATAATGTTTCTTAAGACTAGTAACTGTTATTGCTCTTGCGTTTATTGATGGAGTCACCAGACCATATATGGCAGCAATATTCTAAGCATGGATGAATGGTAGACTTATAGATATATATGATAGTGTCTGAAGAGAAAAATTGTCTTACACGATACAGTGCATCAACTTTCTTAACAGCTGACCTAGCAATGGATTCAATATAGTATTTCCACTTCATATCAGCTGAGAATATTAGCCCAAGGCGGCATCATTTTCCCGAAGGTAAGCCTTGGCCATGCTGATAGAAGGCAGAGAAGTCTCTCTCAGATGATTAATGGGAAGAAAGTTAGTTTTGGAGGTGTTAAAATTAACGAGCCATCTTTTGCCCCAGTTAACAACTACAAAATCACAAATAAAGAGCTTCCTTTTTAACCTTTTGTTTCCTCCAACCACGGGGTTCTGAGGAGTGTGAGACCACATCTTTATTGCTGTTTTTCCCAGGCCCACCCAGAACAATCAATGTGGTAGCACCTGTTAGGGTGCCAGATCTGGGCAAATAATGAATCCCCAAACAAAAAATTGAAAATACATTTTTTATAATAAAATTATCAACAATACATTTTTATCGTAAAGTTACCTGCAAAATATATTTTTATAAAAAAATTACCAATATACTTTTTTAGCAAAATTACTAGCAATATAATTTCTTTTTAAATTACCAACGATAGAGTTTATCATCTACAATATATATATATATATATATATATATATATATATATCTAAGAACCACATTTGATGCAAAAGTATAAAATTATATACAAAATATCTCTTGCTGAAGGCATAAAATATTTGCACTTCAGCATTAATAACCTGTACAGGTTGATATGCTGCCAACACAATCAACCAACCAACTAAACTTTTGTTTGAATTCATTTGGAAAGTCAACACAGACATACACCATACATACATATATATATATATATATATATATATATATGTGTGTGTGTGTATATGTAGTTAGGTGAAACCTTGGTAGGTTTGTCTGGTTCTCTAGGTTTAACTAAGTGGATTGTCAGGGAAGGTAGGAAGGTCTGCTCTACTCATTGTATTGAGCACTTTATTTAGTTGTTTTGGGTACTTTCATTGGGTTTTTTTTTTTCTTTGGGCCTTGAACTCATATGCTGGACAATTATTTTCGGTTAACGTACATGTTCTTGGTTCTTTCTTTTTTTAATACATTTTTTCCCCCTTTGGTATTGGCTTGTTTATTTTCAAATTAATACACCGAGGGTTTTCCGAGTGAGTATAGTTTCTTATACGTATAAGATTTAATATAATATATATATATATATAGGATGTGCAGTGGAGTAATGAATAGCGGCTTGGATTGAGGAATCGGAAAGCTGAGTTTGAATCCATTACATTCCCTTACATACTAATCACCCTTGGGAAAGGTGTGAATCCTCTTCTTCTCCCTCAAGCTATGGGTAAATAGCAGGACAGACTGGGTTCTAGAGCCTTGGATGGCAACTGGTCTAGGAGAAGGACAACTCTGAATTCTAAACCTGCGGAGGGTCGTTTGGGGACCTTGCGGCACATAGTGCACCAGGTCTCTGTATTCAGCCCTTCAAAAACCGTGGATGGTCCTGCACAAAACCTTCACCACTATAATCAAATCTTGTGCTGTTGTCGGGCTGTCAGTTTCCTGGGAACTGATCTGCTTGACCCTCATACGTCAAGTCGACGGGAAAGTCTATATATATATATATATACATACATACACGGATGTTTAGCTTTAAATTTAATGTTTTGATGTGCAGTAATAAATGAACATACCAAGTGAGATACTGAAATAAAAGCACATTCAGAAGGTTCATAGTCTAATGATGAAAATATCTCTCCATATAAATGCACTTAATCCAAGGCTTCTCATTAGATCACATGGATTAAAAAAATTATACAGTGAAAGTTTAAGATCAAAATTCAGCTAAAATCTATATCAGGTTATTATGAACTTCTTGATCCAACTTGGCATAGACACACAACTTGCATCCTAGTGGCTGTCTTACCTTGCTTGGGGTGAAATGATTTAAAAATGTATTTTAATGAAAACAGTTTAATTTACCGTTAACCATCTTTTTTATATTTGCAGAGGATGTCTACTCTGATGATAACAGAATATTTTATGCACTATTTACCACTAATCGGTGAGTAATTTTATTTTATCTAATCTCTATTAAATACCTTGCTAGTATCCTAATAGAAAGGCATCCTTACCTAATCCTTTTTATACTCAACAACTTTCAACCATTGTACTTTGTGACCTTCTTCAAGATTTAAAAATGAATTTATTTAATTCATACAGATTGTTCTCATTCCATACTTCCAAGATACTTTGTAGGCAGTAACATGTCTGTGTTTTCCCAGTGGACTAGAAAATATGAAATTTTTACTTCTACCAGAGCCAGGCATTGAACTGAGAGATTTAACCAATTCTTTTATCTACTAGGCCACATAGTGGTGAAATATTTGGAGGCTTAATCCTAATGATTCGACTCAGGTGGTGGAACTCAATGTAACTCCTCACACTGTTTACATTGTTCAGACTAATTATTGACATATCCATGATGTTTCAGCCACTTTATGCTCTCGCCTTCTTCAGGCATGGAATGTGGAACTAGAACAATCTACCTTGATGGATGAAATAGAGGGTGTGATTCAAAATTCTAATATATATCACCTGAAGAAGGCCATAGTGTACAATAGCCGAAATATTGTGAATATGACAAAGGTGTGAACAAAAGTCAAAACAATGCAAACAGTACTGAAAAGCATGCTCTCCAAAATAAGTAAATTGATCAATTTATAAATGAGACTATTTTATTTTTTTTCTTTCAATGAACAACGTAAATCATAAAAAAATTAGTCCCATTCTAAACTTTCTAAAGGCTATCAGTTTTGATATCAGCCTGAAGAAGGCTGGAGAGAGTATCAGCCAAAATGTCATATTAAAAATAAGATGGTAATGCAAGCATTAAAATATGAAAATAAAAAAAAATTAATTGAATATCAAGGCAGACTAACTGTTTTTGTTTTCTGCATTTTCTTATAACATATTTTCATCTTTCATTGTTCTTCTTTTGAATGTCTAATTTTTACCATATCTCTTCAGTAATGGTGTGACCGCTTCAGCGATTTGTGCATACGATTGGCAAGACATCCAAAAAGTATTTAATGGGCCATTCAAAAACCAAGATAATGATAAATCAATTTGGCTACCAGTGCCTAACAAGCATGTGCCAGCCATCCGACCAGGAAATGTGAGTAGTAACTATTTTTCCCCTCTCTCTCAATTTGTTGCTTTCGTTATTGAATATATTTCACTTTGCCATTGAGACTTTGATGTGGATACCATACATGGGGTGAAACCTGATCAGAAATATCTAAACTGTCATCTCTCTACAACTGCTTTCTAAGATCAACAGTTAAAAAAGGCTTTGAGTTAGTGAAGCCTGAGGATTTGGGTAAAGATCATCCTTCTTTAAATGTTGGGGACTGGCACTACAGAATCACTAACAAAGAACTGTACCAAATAACAGAAACAATATCACCAACAGCAGCTACAACTAAAATGGATAGCACATGTAACTTGAAGAGAAAATAATGACATAATCAAGATACTGACATTCCACACTACTTCAAATAAAAGGTTAGGAAGGAAACCTCCATCAATACTGGAGAGAGCAATAACAGCTTCTGGATTTAACAAACCTATTTTCCTGAAAAATTGGTTTTAAGAGGAATATTTTATAAGCTTCAATTGAAAAAAAAATACTGGCTGCTTGGTCAATGAATGTCAAATGTTCCTTATAGAGAAACAGCTAATACTCTTTTTTTTTTTTTTAAGTGTTTCACCTCAAACAAGGCGAATAAGCCACTAGGATGCAAGGGGTTACAGAAAATTTGGAGAAAGATCAGATAGGAGTGATAGAGGAAAGGATGAGGAGAAGGATAGTGGATACATCAAGGCAACTGGAGATGTCGATTGACATTACATTTGAATAGTTGGAGATTATAGCTCTCAGGGAAACTGGAATAGGGAAGGGAGTTCCACAGGTGAGAGGTGCAAGACATGAAGCTATTGGAGTAGAAGAGACGGCTACATTTAGGAGTTTTGACAGTGAAAGGGTGAGAGCAGGATGCCAGCCTCGTCATAGCAATTGCCATGAAAGTATTTGTAAAAAAGACAGAGAGAGGTGACAGCGTGACTGTAGATAAGGCCACTGCTTTTTAATTCTAAGCATACTGTTAGAAAAAATGATCTTTCTCTTAGACTTATTGCTCTACTACTAACTGAGGCATACTGAATGTGACTGATTTAATTTTTTGACTAACTGAATGAAAATGTCATAGCCTCTTCTGAAAACTTACTCTTCACAGCTACTGTTCAAATGATTGATTTAATTTTAGATCAGTTCTGTACTCACAGAAGAGGAAAATAAAAAGTAAAATTAAGAAGTGATATGTCCCGGAAAGGGATATATTTGAATGAAGAAGCTAAGTGGTTTTGGCCACTATAACCAAGTAGAATATGGTAGCAGTAATTGACTGGTACACGTCATAGTTGCAGGTAGGACATGTAGATCAATGGCGAAGTCCAATGGGCGTCATTATAGACTTAGCTCTCAAACTAAGGCTCTGACTCTCCTACACGTCCGTCGGTATTTATGACAGACATCAGCCAATCACAGTCAAGTGAGGGGGGAACACAGGTGTACGCATATTCCATTATATCAAGGAGTCATAATAATTTTTTTCTGACCAATCAGAAAAGAGCCACACAACTTCAAGCAACTCTTTACTTTCAACCCACATCAACATTATATAAGGCACCATCAATTCAACTCCATGGCAGAAGGCTAGCCTAATTTATCAGCCATTTTCCTACTCCCCATCTATTTCAGCTGGTTTGTCACCAAAGATGCTGTAAAATTGGTTGGTTCCCTGTACTAATCTAGTAATTACACGACTCCTCCAATATCCTCTACAAGAACCAAATCAGGCCTAAGTACTGTTGTGATATATGAGCCTGTTCTGTCTTCATTTTCCCATCTCAATAGAGTCCAACAGCATCTCTGCAGCTTGTGAATGATAAACTATTTTCCACTTTCACACCTTTCCTACAGGTAAAATATTGAAAATCCTTGCTATTCTATATTGCTATTTCCATGGAAATTATCCAGATGAATTACATTCCTTAATTCCACCAGTTCTAACCTTCATGGCTAAGACCCACCATGCCACACACACTGTAGCGCACCAACTACATTCCTTTCATATTCCCATGATGAGATGCAAGTTCCATTTGATCAGCTTGTTCCTGCGAACCACTGCTTTGTGAAACCGGCTCCAAAGAAGATGATTTCCTAATCACTAAAATTTTAATCTGTTAATGTCTAGGGTTAACTGTTATCTTCCCTACATATCCCCATAAACAATACCACTTACTCTGTAACCTTATACCTTGAGTGGCTCTTGAGCCTTGTACAGGATGAAGATGATTGTTAATAAAAGGAGATATATATTTAGATATATTATCAATAATCACCAGTAATAATTGATATGAAGTTACAGTATCTGCCATGTAAAAGCTCATATCCCCATAAACAATGTCTCTTACTCTGAAATCCTCTACCGTGAGTGGCTTTTGGGCCTTGTATAGAATGTACATCATTGTAAAAAAAACAAAAAGAAGATATATATTTAGATTAGATCACTACAATCTTGGGCTGTTCAAGTCTAGAATTAGGTGTTTTTTTCTCCACATATCCCCATAAACTGTACCTCATACTCTGTACTCCTCTACTTCAAGTGGCTCTTGTGCTTGTGCATTGTGAACATCATTAAAAAAAAGAAGATATACATTAAGTTACATTGTCAATAATCATCAGTAGTATTTAATATGAAGTTACAGTATCTGTCATGTAAAAGCTCATATCCCCATAAACAAGGCTTCTTACTCAGCAACCCTGTAAAAATTGACATATTTTCCCATATTACAGTATTGTATCACAATATGGCAAGCCTATTGCTAATCTGTCACTATTTCCATGGCAAATGATCAGATGAGCTATAATCTTTAGTTCTTCCAGTTCAAACCTTTATAGCTAGGATTTGATATGATCTGTCCATGGAGTCAAATCATCTGCATTTACTCCATATCTAAAACATAAGAGAAAAGTTCCATTTAGTTTTTCGCAACAACTGCCATTTTGAGGAACAGGTTCCCATGGACATTAAAATCGTAACCTCTTCAAGTTAATGGTCAATCATTATCTATCCTCTTTATCCTTATAATTTTAACTTCCTTCTACTTCCTCTTAAAATAATATCACACAACTTATGCAGTAACTCTCTACCAGGAGTGGCTCTTGGGCCTTGTATTGGGTGAGCTTTAGTATAAAAAGGAAAAAAGTAGAATAGACCAATAACTGTTATACTATCCACACACATATATGCAGATAGATAGATGAACCGAGAAATTATTATAATATATAGAATATTTTCAGGCTGAGATACAGTAAAATCAGAAACAAAAGATCTATATACAAGATAGAGAGATTAATGCTTAGAATGGTGACAGGCATATTGCACAATGTAGGCAGGTAGACAGATCAGTAGACAGGCACTTCACTGGCAGATCAATAAATGGAGGCATATTGGGAAAGAAGGGGATAGATTAGTATGTAACTAAATAGACATCTCTGCATGAATAAAAATCACGCTTCCTCTTACATCTGCTTGCATCTCCTGCAAATGTGTCATGTGCACTTCTCTCACCACCTGACAGGAGCAATGTCTCTACCCACCATTCCGATGGATTCCTCTTTTTCCTCTCCTCACTATGAGTCAATCACCCGATTGTCATTCTTTTGCCGCAGGCAATATACAGCCATCTCCTTTGTAAGTAGCCAGAGCAACACATTTGGCAGTGGATGAAATCACTCAGGTTAGACATGGTATTCTGTCGAACATCAAATACTGTGTGGATTTTATTTATGTTGTGAAGTTCTCTAGTAAGAAGATTGCAATTACCTTTTCCTGCTCATTATCAACTTCAGAAAATGGCAGGAACAAGACTTTATATTTTTGTAGATTTTCTATAAAAATATCAATGTTGCAGAAAGTGCCAAAAAGAGATTATTGGTTGAGTTTCTCATTATTTTCATATTTCAAGATAATATGAAAAATACCATGATATATATTCTATCTAACCATCTATCTTTCTGCATGTGTATGCGCATATATGTGTAATACTTATTTTTATATATATATATACATACATACATACATACACACATATATATTTATACAATATCTTAAGCTATGCTATATTTATGGGTAAAAGTGCTCAAAATCAGGGATACATTGTATGTAAATATAAAAGTAGATACTAAGGTAGTCACTGAGTGGCAACAGCCTGTTTCCTGCTTGAATTCAACACCATCACTTGATAAGACACCAGAAGTGTTGAAACAAAATGGCTATTTTTGTAGTGATTTTATAAACATATTTATGTTATAATTTTCAAATTATATATATATATAATACTCAAGGGGGTTGCAGTCTAGGTGGTCAGATGTAAGGGTGTTGTTTATTGCAGAAATTTCTCCTACTTGTGCCATGGTGCAGTCTTGTTGCCAGACATAAGGTCTCCTAGCAGCCACCTTCTTGACCCAGGGCAGCACTATCTCCTCAAGCCACTTGATGTAAGCCTCCATGTTGTCAGAGGACCTCAACAATAAAATGATCAGTGTGACTTTTCCGAGCTACTGTACCTTCATAATCACCATTATATTTATCCAACTCTTTCTGAATCCTCTGCACTGTCTTCAGATTGACACCCAAACACTCTAAAATGTTTGTATTTGAGATTCTGGCAGGAATGCTAAGCATTGCAGCATGCCGTTTCCAAATTTCTGGCAGAGTAAATCACATTATGGTGCTCTTTTTTTCAAACATGGTGCCCAACGGACCCTACTATACTGTGCAGTTGACAAAATAAAAAAAACAAACAATGCATATGACCAAAAAATATTTTTATATTTTTTGGTCATATGCATTTTTTTGGTAACAATGTGTATCGCACCCTGTGTAGATTATATATGTAAAGATATATAGTTTTAAGGTATGCTATATTTATTCCAGTCAAATCCATTACATTTATTTATGTGCTCATACCCTAGGAAAAGGTATGAATCTTCTCCCTCCAGCTATGGGTCAATAGCAAGACAGTCCAGGTTCTATAGCCTTTGATGGA